CAAAACAAATTCTACTTCACAATATTGTGGAATCTTAGAGAGTTCCTTTCACTGTATCTTCCATTATCTCTTTGGGCTTATTACAGGCAGGGGTGATCTGCTGGGGGTTCCCATGGGTTTGCTAAGATTCTGTGCAGCTTGGAGAACCCCCAAATCCCTCTCCTGGCTGGCCCTGCCCACCCTTCCCACCAGGGGTGGGATTCAATTTTTTTAACAACCAGTTCTGTGGGTGTGGCTTAATTGGTGGGTGTGGCTTGGTGATCATGTGACTGGTTGGGTGTGGCCAACTCAACATCACTCACATTGAAGCACGCATCTCTTTGCCTGGCCTCTCATGACTGTGGGGATGCTGCAGCAGTCGTAAGTGTGAAAAATGGTGATAAGTCACTTTTTTCAGTGCCATTGTAACTTTGAATGGTCACTCCACACAAGCAAAGCACCAGTAAAGAAGGGGGGGAAAAACTCCAGAGAAGTTCCAGAGACAGGAAGTCTAGTCCTGCCAAGAATGTAATAAGGGTTAATGGAGAAGCAGTTTCTGTAAGCAACACCAGAATATTTCCTTTCTGCCTTCCTTACAGGATTAGGCCAGTAATTTCTTCTAACAACCGGTTCTCCGAACTGCTTAGAATGTTAATAACCGGTTCTAGAGAATAGGTGCGAACCTGTAGAATCCCACCCCTGCTCCCCACCCCTCCCAGGAGTCCCCATGCAGCCTGTTTTAGATGCAGGTAAGTGCAGGGCATGCACAGAGGTTCGGGGAGGGTGAAAAACGGGCATCCCAGAAGTTCCAGAAGGCTGGAAATGGGCCTGTTTCTGGCTTCCAAAGAGGCTCCAGAGTCCAGGGAGGCCGTTTTCACCCTCCTGGAAGCTTTAGGATGAAGACAAAATTCTGTACTTTGTTTCATACTCTTATTAGGGAGGTGGTTGATCAAGTTTTGTCTACTGAACTCTTTGTTTAGGAGTTTTTAGGAGGCAGCTATTGGTACAGAAAACTTCTGGTCTTTTTGGACAGCTGTCTCTGACCAATTAACATCATTATTCTTTATGTTCCTAAGAAGGAATTTTCTCTTTCCAGCTAAGGACAGGAAACATTATGTCCAAAGAATTCCACAATTTGTTCAGAATAGTGAATATCTTATATAAAACACATTACGTTTCTATGAAGCCCCACACATTTGGCAGATCAGTTTGAAGTAATAACCAGATAGTTCCAAAACTATTTCTACACATGGAAAATTAAATCCAATCTGCTTTTCCTGCATTTAGTATATTTTCATCTAATTTTAAGAGAAAACAGATTACACAAAAGTGTGAAAAACTGACATATAGTTATGGCTAAAATGGTCATAGGAATAGGAATAATGGAATACTGATATCATTATATTCCCTTTGCTCTTTTCTTTTATCCTTGTTTTTCAGTTGTATACTTCACACTAGCATCAGTGATCGTTTGCAATGCCACTAAAAAAGATATACATTCCAACGCATTTTTTTAAAAAAAACCTCTTAATTGAAAAGTACTAAGTATTAATAAAAGATAAATAAAGCCTCTTAAAAGAAGATACCCAAGATGCTAAACTGAAAACAAAACATTTAGCCTTGTTTTCTAGTATTTCTTTGATAATCAATTTTTAGAAAATAAGTCTCCATTTATAAAATACAATTACTCTACAGTCCTGTTTGGTTAGATAAATTGAATCAAGTCTTCTCACTAAAACCAGGTGCTGTTACCTTAGGAAAGTAATACATTGAAAAATAGCATTGAGTTAACAAGAATCTTAAATGAATCAGTTCCTCACTGTAAACATCATTAGATCTATGTAGGATGTTTGGTTCACAGTAGGGGAAACCTGACTTCTCTTTAAAGATAGGAAAACCATCTCAGGTACTATTCTTAAATGTATAGTCTGTAAGAGAATCATCCATTACTCAAATGCCTAGGTTTCTCCTTTTGAGATTTCATGAATCAAAACCAGAGTTTCTATCAACATGTTGCAACATGTTTAAACTTCCTAATTTTAACAGCACTAATTCACACAGACTTCTTTAATATTCTCTTTATTATATTGTATATTTTATGGTCCAGTATTCATTTCAGATATCTAGAAAAGTGACTTAAGGAGTTTTTTTTTAACACCGGTAGCTCCTTAACATATGTCACTGATCCTGCCTGTTATAGATACCTTAATTTTATTTATTTTAAATGAAAACATACTTCAAAATCCTTCAGCAACGAAGTGTTTCTTACTTTCCAAAAATAAGTCTTCAAATGGCATCAGTTAGCATACATTTACTAGCACAAAGTAGAGGCATGGGGGCAATCTAGAACATTTAAACTGCTATTCTTTGATGTTTTTCAAGAATAAATTGTAATGCTACTACTGTATTAGCCCTGTTTATAAGCCGTTGTACCAAACTACGGTAACTGAATTTCATATCAAAGCCCCAACTTTTCTAAGAAATGTATTTGTGCCTATGTTACTATCTTTCCAACTCACCCATTAAAATGCAGACTAAATTCATTACATTATATGGTTACTTGTTTTGTGGCTTTGTAGATCAATGAAATCTAGCTAGATTTCATAAACTATGTTTCATAGTTGTATACAACATGGAAATCCAACTAGTTGCAGCTTACTCTGTATGAACTCAGCCTCTATAGCTGGATAGTCATGTCATGTTTTGCCCATTCACAAGTCATCAAGCTGCTTTTAAGGTAATCTGAAAGAATTTATTGTTTCCACTAACAAGTCTTATTAGTCAGCTAACAGTCCAGTAGCAACAGAGTTGATCATACACTACAGTTTAGGAGGGATGTTGCAATGTTTATTGTGTTAGCCTTGTGTTTTCTTCTTGAATATACTGTACACAAGTCATATTGGAGGGCCTTTGGTTTTAAAGGCAATCTGAAACTATTAAAATAAACCGCTGGCAAAGATGAATAAGATCATTACTTATTGCACTTTTGAACCTAACTTTAGAATTCAAGTAGGAGATAAAAAATGAAATATTTGAAAACTAGCATTACATAATAGGTAGTTATACCCTTTTCAATTTAAAATTTTGAGAAGTCTAGTCCCAATACAATTCGGGATGGGAAGTGAACTATATAAAATGGAAATATCATTAGCACTATACCTTATTTCATAATATAGTACCAAGGTGGTATTATTATTATTATTATTATTATTATTATTATTATTAATAATAATAATAATAATAATAATTGTTTCAACCACCAACTTTCAGCCATTCCCATTCATTCGCAGTCTGCAAATAACCATTGACCTATCATGCAGGGCTATTATAGTCAAAACACAATAAGCGCATCACATATTTTCAATATTTAATGCAGAGGTTTTGACCAATTCTGGAGAACCAATAGCAGAAATTTTGAATAGTTCAGAGAACTGGTGGTAACCTTCCCCTAGGAGTGGGGACAGAATGGAGATTTTATAGTATTCTTCCCCTGCCACACCCACCAAGTCACACCCACCAAGCCATGCTCACAGAGCCTGTAGTAAAAAAAAATTGAATCCCACCACTGATTTGACAGGATTATATAAAAATTATTGCCATTAATTCAACTGAATAAAGTGAGTATCCAAAACTCACTGTAAGACAGGGCCTGTTGAAATTGATATCTAAATAAATGTAATTAAATTCAGATACATAAGCAAAGCAAAAATATTCAAGTCTTAAAGAAACCAGGTAGAAGAAAGTCATTCTACAGCAAAATGAACTGGATGTGCTGAAACTGATTGACATGTTGGGTTTATGCAAATAAGATTTAGAACAAATAAGTGCTTCACATCTCAAAATAGAAAAATGTATTATCCAAGATTTTTGTAGAATTATTTTTGGTTGATTAAATTGGCACGTCCAAATTTATAGATATCTATATCCCTTTTTAGAATTACTGTGCGTATTTTTTACAGGCCTACTTCATGATCCAATAGCTTCCTGCTATTAACATTTAATCAGAATGTTCCTTTAAGTAGTCTAAATCTGGACATATGTATCAAATGACTCACTAAAATAAACATATTGTGGGAAATAAGCATATGAATCGCATGTATTCTACCAACTGCTACACTAGAACAAGGCTGAACCATGTTTGCACAGTTGATCAGCGTCTATGTGTTCTTGCTTACATGAAAGAAACTGTACTCAGAAAGACATTTGGGCACAGGTTTCATACATTTCCATACAATTATTAAAGAAAACTACTTTCCCAGGATGAAAGTACATTTTTCTAAACTTTTAAAAATTTATGAATCTGTATGAAATTGCAAAAATGATCAACAGATCATTAAGAGAAAATGTGTTTGATGGACTGAATGTACAAATAAAACACAGGAAATAGTCACAAATTCTTTACTTATAGAACTGATTATAAGCTACAGAAATAGGCACTGAATGCAAATCTCACAATGTTACATTACATTATTTTGTATCATTGAAGACTGATATATTGTGCCTTAATTACAATTTTTTTCTCTATGACCACTTTTGTAAGAATCTAACTTAAGCAACACCTTTCATACTCACCATAGGAATCCTAAGTGCATGCTATATAAAGTTATTCACCAAAACATATGATCCAAATATATACTTGGCAGCTCAAAACTTGAATTCAATGTATTATTCTCAAGCATGCTTTAGTGCAAACACATTTGCTATTAACCGTGTATTTAACAAAGTAGAGGTATTTTATAAAGGAACTGCCTATTGAACTTTATATATGAATTAATTATGCTTCTTTTTTGGTACTAACTGTTTAAATAGTAAACAAATTCTAGTGGTTCTAGTGGTTAAGACGCCAGTCTACATGAATTCTCACCTTAGCCAGAAAAGCCAACTGGGTACCATGAGCCAGTCACTTTCTCCCAGCCCAACTCACCTCACAGGGCTGTTGCTGTAGGGAAAAGAAATGGAGGAAGGTCTGCTGGATATGTTTGCTACCTGAGCTATTTGTAAAAATAATAAAAGGAGATTCAAATAAATATTTGTTTTATTTAAAAATTCAATCATTTTTATTAATGTGCACTTTATTAAAAGTAGATAGTTCAGGAAGAGCTGGTCTAATAACTTAGGTGTTAAATACAATTTTTCCCAAACACATTAAATATGAACTTTTAAAAGTCTTCATAGTGTTCACAACTAAAAGGTTAAAGTTTACCTGTTATTGGTAAGTAATTAAGAAGCAAGCACATCCAATGCAGAACAATCATTTAATTCAGAAATATATAGTATACCACAGATTTCTAAATAGGTTTATGGCTGAAAATCTTTTCAAGCCATTGCATAACTAATCAATGCTATAAGAATTTCAAATTTAATAAAGGTTTACATTCAAAGGCAATAATTAAACTTCAGTCTTTTAGCATCACCAATATACACAATCACTAAGATGAATTTAACAATTTACAGCATTTTGTCAAGTGTCCTCTTTTAGATTTCTATCAAAGAGGACATGTAAATAACAACCAGATGCTGTGCTATTTAAAATATCAGAACCTAAAAGGCCAAGTTTCAAAAGAACTAAGCTTTTGTTCAAACACAGGAATATACTTAGTGCTTTTTCATAACTACTAAAGAAGTGCCACTTTCCCATAAGAGTTGCTTTCAGCTTTTCCATCCCATTTTGTTGAAAGCAGCTGGCAGTGACGTGTCCACCTGAGTTTCAGGAGTTCTTTGTTAACTCCTTGGTCGCTGCAGCCCCTGAAGAGAAAGTTCTGTAGTGCACTGACTTCTATTATAATCAGAGTCAAAGTGTCACAGAACTTTCTTTCTAGAAGCCAAAACTTTTTCTACTACAGAAGCTTCATCAGCCGCAAGGCAAGGCATCCATTTCTTGTCCACTACAACAGAAATAAAGGGGGGAAGCATTTATTATTCAAAAGGAAAGTACACAAATTGATATTTTTAAAAAAAGCAAAGCATTTGAGCAGTCCCAGTTTCCAACTTATGTGTATTCTATCTTTGGACCCAAAATAGCAGCCAAATTATTGCAATCAGACAATTATTCCCATCTGGGTTCCTAAAAGATTGCTGGTTTAGTCTCAGGTATGTTCCAGTCAGCTGCCACATGAGATGCCACGACAGATTTCCGCATTGGTAACCGATGGCACGATGGAAGCAAAAACTAGCCCACATAAGCTCTAGGGACAGAGTTTGCTTCAGGAAGAAGGTAACAGTTATGTGGAAGATCCCATAAGGCCACGTAGGCATACACCACGGGGACAAAAGTATACAACACCTAAGGAAGAATACCTATGCCTTCTTTCTGCTCTCTACTAGAAGCTCCGAAAATCGAAACTAACTCTAGAAAGCAAAACCCGCAACCAAATGAAGAAACAGGAAGCCCACCTGCTTCTCTCTATACAGTGATCCAGATGTAAAGGAGAGAAGGGTATCGATCCCATGCATCCAGGAACCGACTTGCTCCTATCCCTATTCCAAATGACCTTAAGCATGCCCAGGCGACAAAGGGAGCATTGCCTGCAAAAAAACCCGCATCGGCTCAGGAGGCAAGCCCACCACGCTGTGCAATAGGGGGTGGTGGGTGGTTAAGGAAAAGGAACTCACCCACTTCGCCTCCTTGTCACCTGGAGCAACTGGGACGCCCAATGCAACAGGTCCGTGCAGTGCCTCCCCCAAGTGTTCTTGCTGCAGCAGCGCTCGCCTTTCCCTGCAGAAAGAGAAATAGGAACAGCCCGGCGGATGATATGTAGCGGAGCTGCCGCGATTCGGACTTCTCGCGGCGGTGCCTCAGCCTCCTCTTCCGATCCGCGGTTGCAACAGCGGCGGCTGCTACGGCAACGGAGCGGCAGCTAACCAGTGCCCCTCCTGCCGTCGCGTTCGCCGTCGTTGCCCATTCCTTCTTCGCGCTCTCTCTCCATTGCTCTGCTTCCTCCGTCTGCCTGCTCGCAAATGCCCGGTTTCCGCGAGCTCCGCTCCATTTTGACTTTTGCCGACGTGGAAATTTTGGGTTTGGAGACGAGCTGCGTTCTTATTGGCTGGCGGAGGGCGGGGTCGGAGGTCATGGTTGCTGTAGCTGCTCCGCGCCAAGGAGTCTATCTCTTTTTTATCTATCTCAGACAGTGGAAAGAAAGGAGCGGTAGAAGAACCGGAGCCCCAAGATCGCGCTCACCCGATCAAGGCTGAATGAAGTGCGGGGGGGAGGCAGCACCTGCGCGAACTATGAGCGCCTCCCCGGCCCCCTGAGCTGTCCCACCGGGAGAGCTGCCAAGGCATGGGGGAGAGGAAAGGCTAGGACGATATGATATGGGTGGTCAGACACCGAAAAAGCTCTGTCCGTGCTTTAAGATGTCCTGGGACTCGGTAGGGAGGATCAGAGAAGCAGCACTGCTGGAATGATGGGGGAAACTCACTTAGGGGCAAAGGGCACAAAAGAAACTGGGTGCTGCAAGCTAACCCAAGTGTCCAGAGAGATGTTGAAAGCAAGGTGGCCAAAAAAAGTTGCCTTATGCCAGGATTTGGGGATCTAGGTGGACTCTAGGTTCTTAGTGCAGGGGTCACCAACCTTTTGGACCTCAGGGACCACCAAACTCATACTTTTAATTCCCACGGACCACTAATATGAATTTTGACTGATGGTGGCTTGCTGACAGTGGGAAAGTTGGTTCCATATTCCAGAGCTGCGGTAGTCACAGGACTGGTTGCTCTTCTATCCAGGTGCACCAGCCTGCCAAGGACTGGAAGAGCTGCTCCAGGATGACCAAAGGTCTCTTGACTACTGTAGCTCTGGAATATGGGGCCGGCCCATGGTGGGATTGGAAATCTCTGCCATAGGGGGTGACACATTTAATGTGCAAATTTGTGGGTGGTGCAATATGCAAAAAGCAGCGCAGCCCTCGCCGGCCAGGACAAGGTAATGGTGCTGTTGTGGCAAGAGCGGGGGCGATGGCCCATGCGGGCCGAAGCAGTGATGGAGATGGCTGGAAGATGTGGGAGCGCCTCGCTACCTGCATTTGCACAGCATCAGCATTCTGCCTTTGTTCGACAAGCCTGGCCAAATTTTCCCACGCTGCTCATGCTTAGCGCTTTGACTCCCAGAAACAGGAGTTCGGCCAAAATCATGTCTCACTTGAGGAGTGCTCACAGAAACAGCATGGGAAACTTTGGCCGGGCTCTTGAGATGAGGGTGACTCGGGCTGCTTCTCTCTGCAAGCACTCCTCGAGAGAGAGAGATGGTTTTGCAGGTGGCTTGGCCGAACTCCTGTTCCTGGGAGTCAAAGCGCTGAAGCGCGAGCAGCACGGGAAACTTCAGCCGGGTTCCTCGAGTGAAGGCAGAATGCCACATAAATGCAAGTAGCATGGCGCTCCCGCACCTTCCAGCCATCTCCACTGCCACTTCAGCCCACCTGTGCGGCCACCCTCCTCTTGCCACAACAGCACCATTACCTGATCCTGACCAGCAAGGGCTGCGCTGCTTTTTGCACGTTGCACCACCCACAAATTTGCATATTACATGTGCCACCCACTACAGGGGAGATTTCCAACCCTACCATGGGCTGGTCCTATATTCCAGAGCTGCAGTAGTCACAAGACTGGCCTTTTGGTCATCCCTGAGCAGCTCCTGCAGTTCATGGCAGGCCAGTGCATGCGGGTGGAGGAGCAGCTGCTCCGGGATGACCAAAGAACCAGTCCTGTAACTACTGCAACTCTGGAATAGCGGACCGATTTTCCCACCAACATCAACAAGCCACTGTCAGTCAAAATTCATATTAGTGGTCCACGGGATTTATAATTATCAGTTTGATGGTCCCTGAGGTCCAAAAGGTTGGCGACCCTACTATAATAAACAAAAAACACTCTCCTACTACCAGTCCTAAGTGCCCATAGAATCTCTGCCACCGGAATTTACTTTGACTGTTAGAACTTCTACTTTTGGGAGCGCACTCAAAAAGGGAAAGACAAGATAGCATCCTATGAAGTTTCTTGGCCAAGGTGACTACAGGAAACACCCACAGGGGCTGGGTGCTAATGATAATTCCTCACACCAGGAGAATCTGATTTTAGTATAACCTATTGTAGGAATGTGACACTATGGTTTGGGCCTCTGTTCTACAATATGGACCAACTGTGGCTTATGAGGCAAATCCTGACTTAGTTTTGTAGATCAGCCTACAAAAGGTGTTTCCTTTTCCCTTATATATCAGAGTGTAGTTTTAATCTTCCCAATTTTTTGGAATGCAGTACAGTTTGTTCTTAAGCATTTTATTTATTTACAATGCTTTATCTCTACTTGCAACTCCATGTCTTAAGTTTCGAAATACCACACCTGTAAGTACAGGTAGTCCTTGATTTATGACCACAATTGGGCCCCACATTTCTGTTGCTAAGTGAGACAGCTGTTAAGTGTGTTTTGTTCCAAATAGACTATAAACCAGAGTTCTTCCTGTTAGGGATCTCTGATAGATATTTATCCAAAAAGACAAAATATGTAATAATCCATATTCTAACTGCGGCTAGATTAGCGTTTGCTCAATGTTGGAAATCACCTCATACACCTTCAGAGCAAATGGTTATTCAGAAATTTGTGAGTGTGCTGAAATGGATAAACTAACGATAGCGTTAAAAACAAAGAGTCCTCAACATTTTACGACAACTGGGACTCATGGTATAATTGGCTTACACAGAGACAAATTATGTAAATGATATAGAGTAACTTAAACATAATGGAAAAGAGGAGTAGATTGGATATGACAAAGAGAAATGATCCTTACAGACTGTCACAAAAAGATATTGTTCGTTTTTAATTGTACTTTCTACCCTATTCTCCCTCCCCTTCCCTTCCCGTCACTCCCTCTATATCTTTTCTCTTCCCCACAACCGGCCCTTATCCAGTGTGTTAAGCCGGGTGTTTTCTTTCTTTCCCCCAAGCCGTTTTTCTTTCTATTTTGTAAATGTACCGTCAATGTGTTTTTAAACTGTAAATTCAATAAAATCTTTTTTTTTTTTTAAAGTGTGTTTTGTTCCATTTTGCGACTTCTTGCCACAGTTAAATGAATCACTATAGGTGTTAAGTGAGTAGCCACCATTGTTAAGTGAAACTGGTTTCCCCATTGACTTCGCTTGTCAGAAGGTCCCTAAAGGGGATCACCGTGACCCTGGGAGACTGCAACCATCATAAACATGAACCAGTTGTCAAGCATCTGAATGTAAATCACATGACCACGGAGATGCTGCAGTGGTTATAAGCGTGAAAATGGTCATAAATCACTTTTCAGCGCCACTAATTCCAAACGGTCACTAAATGAACTGTTGTAAGTCAAGGAATACCTGTATTGTAGAAGGAAATCAGTTTCCCTAGGAATGGATAACAGGGTTGCTATTTGTGCTGAGAACTGTTTTCCAGAATTAAGGATCCTTTATTCTCCACAGCCAAGTTTCCTTCTTGACAACTGTGTGCATAGCAGACAAATTACAGGTCCATATCCAGATTGCATTAAACCATAAGCACTTTAATTTTTCCTTAACATGTTATGTGAATACTTCACTACAATTTGTAAAACATGGTGGATGAGCTTATTATTCTTTATTCAATAATGAATCAGTTTGCCTTAAAGCATCAAACTAGGAATTGGTAGACCATGAATTCTAGTACCGCCTTAAGCATGAAAACCAGCTAGATGATTTTGAGCCAATCACTCTTTCAGTCCAATCCACTTCAAGGTTGTTGTTGTTTGTGAAGTAAATAGAGGAAAAAGGTGTGTGCATTTTTGTCATCTTGAGATATTTAGGAAAATATTAAAGGTGGGATATAAATAAATAAACTGCAGTTAAACATGGCATAGCAAAGTGCAAAAATAATCAACCATACACCTCTCCTCTCAGATATTAAATCTAAAAAGGTAGTTTTGGCAGAAATGTTAGCTGCAGTTCTATTACTTTTAAGTTTCATCATTGCTGAAATCTTATAATTTTTGGTCAGAGAAAAATGAGCAACCACCCCCACCCCACCCCCATGACGTTATTGCTGGTAATATCAGCAATTCCTTAAACGTACATTTAAGTGTCTCTGGCTATATTTGCTTAAATAGTGCTTGATTAGAACATAGCTCTTTAATAAACAATGTTTGTTTACAGAAAATAAGACGTGCAATGTATTTCAGGGTTTCGTCTAAGTTCCAGTCAGACACAACGTTCTTGATATAGAAAATGATACACTGTAGATAGAGACGTTGTGTCTCTTCATTGTTAGAAAGAAAGATAGAGAATTAGAAGGTATACAGAATAATATCTGGAAATTTAAATAATGCCATTTCATGTAAAAGAAAATTCAGAAGAAAAATCAGTACCAATTATTGTGTTGATTAGTGTTTCTACCCATAAAAGAATAAAGATATGCTATTTATTATTTATAAAATTTATTCCCAATTCACAAATTGCAATCCCAGCACCTAACATTGGATTAAAACCACATAACAAAACAACTAATATACAGAAAACTGGAGAGAAGCAACAAGAAATTAATAAGATCAGAATGTATAGGTGGTCATTGACTTATAACAGTTCATTTAGTGACAGTTCAAAGTTATGACACTTTAAAAAGTGACATGACAATTTTTCACACTTATGACCACTGCAGCATGTCTATGGTCACGTGATTTTTCATTTGGATGCTTGACAACTGATTTACAAGACCAGTTGCAGTGTCCCAGAGTCGTGTGATCAACTTTTGCAACCTTCTGACAAGCGAAGTCAATGGGGAAACCAGATCTTGTTAACTGTTCTATCATGTTACTAATTTAAGAACTGCAGTGAATCACTTAACAAATGTGTCAAGAAAAGTCATAAAATGGGGCAAAACTCACTTAACAAATTTCTCACTTAGCAATATAAATTTTGGGCTCAATTGTGATTGTAAGTTGTGGACTACCTGTACTCTCGTTCCACGGCCATTTACCAGAAAGA